CTGAGGTGTACATTTCACCCTCCCTCCTGGACGGGCTCCCTGGCCTACACCACCGAAACTTCAAGGAGCTTCATGATTTCATAGATTGCTTCCTAGATCAAATGGGTAAGGTGCAAGCCCCTGCTATCCCAAACTCCATCCATGCCACCCACAACGAGGCACCTAGCACTCAGCAGCAGCCTTCTCCTCTGTTCGCAGGAACAGACTCAAGAGTTACTTCCAGGAGGAAACTTTGGTGGTGACCGTACATAACTTCTTCTTCAGCAGCAGAGAGGCCACAAGCACCACCCTGACCTATTGGCTTCTCCCCCTTCTCAAGTTCCCAGAGGTGGCATGTATGCCAGCAGGAAAGCCCAAGTTGAGAGGGTTAGGGTTTAGGGATGGCAAGGGATGGGGAGCGGGTATGTGTGTGCGTGTCTCACACACTTCATTGGACCCAGCCCACATGCAGGTGAAGGTGGACACCATGGTAGGTCTGGCACGCTTCCCAAGGTTGCCCCACACGAACACATTGTGGCAGAAGAGCCAGGACTAACGTTGGGACTGTCGTGTGCCTTACCTGCAATGCCCACCTGCATGGCCACTTTCTGCCCACGCTGTTCACCGAGCTTGGGGATTGTGCACAGGGCTGGGAGCTCCTGTTCACTGAGATTTGCAGACATGAGCCTATGTGCAGCCCTGGGAGCAAGAAATAAAGCTCTCCTTCCCAGTGGCTTCTACATGAAAGGCAATGAAAGGCAGTCTTGCCAAGTTCATGGGCACTTGCACATTCCCTTTAGGGCACCTTCATGATTTCTCTGCTTGTGTGTCTGCACATGGGGCCCTATCCAATTCAAGAATCCATAGTTTCAACTCCACCAACTTTCTGGATAAGGGCCAGTTTCTTCATGCCCTTTGCCCCAGTTATGGGCCACACAAAAAGGGGGCCAGCTGGGGCAGACCCTAGGATACATGGGGTGCTTACCCTTAATCTGTGTCCCGAGGAAAGTGGATGTACTGGGTGCAGGCCTGGCCTGATCAGAGATCGTCCTCTTCCTCACCACCGTTCTGCAGGGGTTCTGTCCGCGCCTTGTGGGGAGCCCCACCAAGGACCTCACCCTGCAGTGCACCAGGCCTTGGTGATGTCCACTTCACTTTCCAGTTCTACCTGGTGCCCCCTGAGGTCCGACTCAGCCACCCGCTGCTCACTGACTCTCAGACCTTCTTGCCCCTTTGTTTAACAAAGGCCATGAACTGCAGATGGAGGCATGTCCTTGCCAAGAGGAAGAGGGGGAGTCAGATATGTGCAGCTCTGAGGTAAACTTTTATTTCTTGGCTGACAGGACTTTCACACCCATACTCCTCCCAGCACCTTTTACCTGCCCAAGCAGCGGCCGCCTAGTCCAAAGGGTGCCATGGCCAAGAGGGTTGGGAGTCATTTCACATTCTAAGCTGGAGGAGTGAGGGGGCTTGCAGGTACTCCCCCTACAAACCTTTGCCAGCAAGAGGCCATGACTCACCTCAATCCCAAATTCTGCATCCTGGTGGGAGATGATAATGCCCCCTTCCAGCTCTCCACACCTGAGAGGGGCACGACTAGACAGGGCAAGACACAGGCCCCCAGCTCCAGTAAAGGTAGCCCCTTCGTACTGGCCCCTGCCCAGGTCACAACCCAGGTCCCATCACAGGGCAGCACAGGTCTCTCCCCTCCTTGGTCCTCAGAAACTAAGGGAACCCTCCACACCGGGCAGGACATAGGCAAAGTCGGAAGCAGCAGCGGTGGCGGGGCAGGAGCAGGCTCCGAGACTGGGAGGCCGCTGGCCAGGCAGCACCAGCCCAGGGCTCTCCTGAAATCAAGGCAAGTTGTCTGTCCATGCAGCTCTGGGGTTGGCCACTAGGTGGGCGTAGTCGGCTGAGATACAGGTACTTGAACACCTTTCTGTCCGGATGCTGGTGGGAGGGAGGGGGACAGGAGATAATGAGTCAGCAGGGACAGGACTAAGAGGCTATGAAAAAGCTGGGAAGGGGAGGAAAGGACCAGAAGAGATGGGGCTCACGCTGGGGTAACCAGTAGAGTGGCTGACTAGGAAAGGTGGGCAGAGGTCAGGAAAAACGCAGCGGAACTTAGTAAAAAACTGAAGTGGATGAGATGGTTAGAGCCCTGGTGAAGCTGTGGAATAGGAAGGACTTGAGGGAGGGGACACCATTTGGGAAGCAGGTACCTAGCTGATACTTGTCTTTGGCTGCAGCTCGCTCCTTGGCATCAAAATACCAGACAGTGATGGCGTACCTGAGGACCAGAGCAGTGTTGGAAGGCAGTTAGAGATCACATTTCTTCAGTTCCAGCCACCATATCCACAGTGACACCAGAGCCTGCCCCGAGCCTGGTTCTGTTCCCACCTAGGTCCCCTCTCAGTACTTCATCATGTCTTAGTCATGCAGGGGGAATCCCTGAGCACATCCCAGAGTATGGGTCATACCTGGTGGCATAGGCTGGTTTCACCTCGTGGGGGTTCCGCCGGTCAGACCAGAAAATAAGCAGCCGGTCAAAGAGCGGCTCGATGTTGGCTACCACAGGCCGGCCCTCAGGGAAGATCTGCAGCAGGCCGCCATGCACCTGAGGACAGACCAGAGGGTGAAGCAGGAGGCTGGCACTTACTGTCCCCAGGAGCCCACCAGGGGCATAGCAGCTGCACACAGCACTCCCTCCCACCATTCAGCCTCTTAAAAATGAATGCCAACCTAGAATCTGCATCACCATGGAGATGGGCAGGAAATTACTAAAGAAGACAGGAAATAGAGGGGAGGATTCATTATGCCAGGGCCTGGGCGGACTGCACCATTCCTCCAAGGAGGGGCCTTTGCTACCACACAGCTGGAAAGGAGGTGCCATTCTCCAGGAGGAGCCAGGGGCCAGATTGCCCCACCCCCAGGTGGGTAGAGAAGAGGAACCAGAGAAGGTTAGAAGCTGAGCTGGAAGTGGAAACCCAAGTGGATGCACACCATACCCGCCCCATCCCCACCCCCACACCCTACCTTGATGTCCCAGTTCTGATTCAGGTAATAGATACATGTGATGCAGCGCCCATCACCGTGGGGATTGTCAACGTGCCTCACGTACCCCAGCCCATTGCCTGGATAACACGCCACCATGGCCTGGCAGAGACAGATTGAAGTAGTTTACTGGGGCTAAGCAGAGACATTTGGGGAAGCAGCCATTACCTCCTCTTTCTCAACTCTCCCTGCTCATCTCTGACTCAGGTGTCCAAACTTTCACCTTTTTTAGCCAAGCCCCCATCCACCAGAAACCACAGCTCCAGTGCCTCAACAACCCATCACACACACAGCACACCACACCACACCACACCACCACCACCACCCCTAGAGCCGGCATCCAGAAGGGGCTCAATGAGGAACTGAGGGTTTCATTTTTTTAAAGATAACCAGACCCCACCTCAGACATTTCAGCAGAATAAAACCAGTGTCAGCATTCTCTGGCATGCAGTGATGTGGCTTCATGGCCCACACCAGGGGTTCTCGCCCTTGGCTGCAGTGTAACCACCTGGGACACTGATGCCCAGGCCCACCTTAAAAGTTCTCATGTATGCGGAGCCTGGAATTTTTAAAGGTTCCCCAGGTAATTCTAATGCATAGCAATGTTGAGAACCACTGCGCCTGACCACAAAGAATGCCTGCTAAGTAAATTATGTCTCCTACATATTTAAACAGGTGTCAAAACCTAGAGTGTGACTAGAACCTGAAATCTAATCCCAACTCCAAGGATAACTAGCTGGGTAGCCCTAGATAGTCCTATCACCTTAGCAGGCTCAACTGCCTCATCTGTAAAATGGGGCTAATAATACCCACTCTGTTTACAGCGATGACATTAACCCCTCTGAGAATCTAACTCTGGAGGTTCCTGACCATATAGATCTAATAGTTAGGACTAATTCAAGGTCCTGTGCAGGTTTCTGTGTGTACAGGTCTAGCCACAAAGTTCTCACCTCCTCTCCCTGACAGCTGCCCCTGCCCTGGCCAGCCCTGGCCATGCTGAGCTCTGGGCCTAGCCACTTGGGGCTATTTTTCTCATCAAGGAACTGAGGGAAAAAGTGGATGTGGTATGAGGAAAAGGGCCCAGGTGTCCCTACAGACCTAACACACAGGTTCATCTTAGAGCTGCCACATGAGCTGTGATGTCAGGGGAAGGGGGAGGGAGAGGGGTCTCCGGTTCCTCATCCATGACATGGAACTGACAGCTATTTCACAGGTTGTTGTGGGAACTGAACAAGATATAAATGAGAAGGCACCAAGTGCCTGCCATATGATAGAAAGCCAAAACACAGGCTGAAATCACATTTTTTTAAAAAGTCCCAGTCCTACCCTCTGCCCAAAGCCACTAAAAGGGCTGCATGAGGCAAATAAGGAAGCACGGACATGAAGACCCTCCAGCTCCTCCCCAGCTGGGGACCATCTGTCTTGACACCTTGACCCACAGAGGCCAGGTCAGACTGCTGGCGGCTATTCCCACTAACACTCAGCTGTACCTCTAGGCCACACAGGGGAAGACAGCCCTGAGATAAACATTCCTGATCAAATGGATCAGTGGTTAAAGCCTCGACCTGTGGACTGAAGGGTCCCAGGTTGGATTCCAGTCAAGGGCATGTACCTTGGTTGCAGGCTCAATTCCGGGCTCCGGGTTAGTGTGTGTGCAAGAGGCAACCAATCCATGTGTGTTTCTCTGCTCTCCCCCTCACTTCCACTCTCTCTAAAAGTCAATGGGGAAAATATTCTCAGGTGAGGATCAACAACAACAAAAAGGGGTCAGTGTCTGATGCTAAAACAGCTTACCAAGGCCTCCTCCCAACACACCACTCCCAGGCTCACCCCAGCATGGAGGTACACCACGCTGCATGAAACACGTGCACCCGAGCCACCTCAGCACCTGCCCTAGGAAAGGCCAGAAGAGCTGCCACCAGGTAAGGCAGTGGAGAGCACTCTTCCTCCTGCCGGCAGCAGGGCACAGCAGTGAGCAGGCCCAGGTTCAGGAGTACCTTCTTTGCACTGTTCACTCCACACATGGGTCAGCGCTCTGAGCAAGCCCCTCACCAGGAGGAAAGAACAAGCTGTGGGCCAGGCGGCCTGGAATCAGTGAGTCACTAATTAGGGATGGGCAAGGCCTCCCCAGTTAGAACCCAAGCAGAGATTTTGCTGGTTGTGCAGGAGGAGAGGGTGGGGAAAGGTCCAGGGCTGCAACCTCTTCCCCCACAAGCCATCCCCGTACAGCAGCCAGAGGCCTTTTTCTCCAGCTCTTCCTTGTTCAAGTACCCACTGCATCCAGAAAAAATAAAAAATACAAACTCTTGCCCTAGCTGGTTTGGCTCAGCCTGTAGACTGAAAGGTCTCGGGTTCGATTCCAGTCAAGGGCACATGCCTGGGTCGCGGGCTCGACCACCAGTAGGAGGCTTGCAGGAGGCAGCCAATCAGTGATTCTCTCTCACCATTGATGTTTCTATTTCTCTCTCCCTCTCCCCTTCTTCTCTGAAATCAATAAAAAAAATTTTAGAAAAAATACAAATTCCTGACCACAGCCTCCAAGGACACCAACCACCGCTCACTCTGCTCCAACCTCTCCAGCCTCCTGACTGTTCCCTGCCCAGGCCACCCTCACCCCAAGGCCTCTGGGCCTGCCTGGAGTGCTCGGGGCTGATTTTCCACTCCATCCCTCAGGAGGTGAAATCAACCAGGTACTGGTTTACCTAGTACTGGTCCAACAGGCAGCCCGAGGGAAGCCCCAGGGCAGCCTGTCTCCCAGTGCCCAGGAGGATGCTGCTGCCCTGGAAAGCACTCCTCTGGGCCTCAGGGCCTTCAGCTTCCTGCCCTGTGCACCTCACTCAGGACCTCCCACCATGGAGCAGGGACACCCTCTGGAGTCTAGCAGGGAACAGGACTTGTACACGAAGGCTGGGCACAGAAACAGGCCCTTTAAGGCCCGCTTCTCCCCACATATACACACACCATACGGAGTGGAGGATGGAGCCTACTCTGGCCCCAGAGAAGCATCTACTTCCTCCTCGCCAAGGGAAAGGGACAAGCAAAGTGACATGGAAATGTGGAAATGTGCTCCTTACCCTTCCACCTCAGGGAAGGGACAGCTGGGATCAGAGCCAGGAAACTGAAGAGTTAAAGACTATTGGTAACAATGTGCCCAGAGCCCCACGCACACACTCACACACTCAAATCAGAAGCTGGAGACTAAGCCAATGACAGCAGGCCCCACCCCTGAGCTGCTCTTAAAGGGGCAAGCAGCCAGCCCTCTGGTTGTCCCAGATGCCAGTGGGAGTCAACTCTCTCCCACCTACAGGCCAACTGAGCAAAGGGACTAGAGGAAGAGGAGGGCAGACAGGAGAACACAGGCGCTCCACTCAGAACGATCCAGAGCAATCAGTGCCCCCCACCACTGTGGCCACCCATCCCAGCACCCTACACTGTCTCCCTGCAGAGCCTGGGGAGGGAGCCCAGGTGTTGTCCTTTGAAAGCTGGAAGCCTGGAGTGGTTGTCTCTTGGGGCAGGGGAGGGTCTGAGAGGAACTCAGTGATTGGGTTGGCTCCTCCCCTCCCTTCTCAGTCCAGCCTGGCTTACCTCCCAGGATAATACTTCCCTGGTTTACCTCCTAAGAGTCACCTAGGGCTAAAAAGACCCCCCACCCCCAATTCTAGCCAGGGCCTTACCTACAACCACATCCAAGGCACCAAAAGGGAAGAGATCTGTCCCTTCTACCCTGCCCTACCCTCCTAAAACATCACAGACTAGTTGGAGGCTTAACCTGGTTTTCCTATCCTATGGATGAGCAAAGGCTCAGGGAAGTGTCCCGCCCTGGGCCATTCAGCTCTGTGGTCCACCCCCACCTGCAAGGATGGGGAAGCCTGATGTGAGGCTGCTGAGCACCCTGTGGTCAGGGAAACTCCCACTAATCTCTCCTGCGAGCCCAGGGAGGGGCCGCCTCTGGCTCTCCAGCTATCAAGTAACCGGAGGGAGAGGGAAGTAGGACAAGTTCCAGCTGGGGTGGAGAGGATACTGGCCTTGGCCCCAGGGGAGGCCTGGTTCCGGAGCCAGCTCTAGCCTGAGAGGGAAGCGGCACAGAGGCAGAATGGGAGATGTGATCTAAGAAAGAAGGGAGGGGCCCTCAGGCGCACAACTTCATGCCCAAAGGGCAGAATACAGCCAGCCTGTGCCATCAGCCAGGCATCACTGGTATTGTGCAGTGGGCACTCCTCCTACAGAGCCTTTTCCAATCTACACCGAGCCTTGGGCTCAAGGCCAGGGCCCTCACACCCCTCCATGAAGAGAAGTATCGTGTCAGCAGGCCTGAAAGGCCCTATGGACCATTGTCCAGTGCAGAGCTCCTGGCCCAGATTCTAGAATGGGCAGCTGGAGGCCCAGGAGGCCCTGACTCCACAAAGTCCAACCAAATCAGCATTTTCCTTAAGAAAATGATGTAAAATGGCAGATTCTGAAAAATGCTCAGGGCCCTAAAAATATTAATAACTACTACTCTGAAGAAAAAGGGACCAAGAGACACAAAGGCAGTTGTCAGGAACAGATCTGAACCAGACAGGGATACAGTGATGGGCAGCTAGGACAAATCGGATGGAGAACAGGGACGAGGATGGGGTGAAATGGGAACGATGAGGACAGGACCACCACCCCAGCCAGCACACAGCTACCCAAGGCCACCTCCAGGAAGCTGTCCTCGACGCGGATACCACACTATTGCACACAGAGCACAGTGTAGTCCAGCACCAGGAGCAGCGGGCAGCACCTCCTCCCTCAGCCTGGCACTGACCTATTGCCACCCGCCGCCCTCCACTTCCTGGTTCTCCTGGCTGGGTGACCGAGTGGACAGCCAGAGACAATGGGGACAGAATGATTTAGACAGACAAGCCAGCAGACAGTGACAGATGAAAGGATGGGGGACCAGAAAGGGATGCGGACAGGGACATCTCTATGGACTGCTCTTGGTCTGGGGCCCATGAACGACATCAGGAGCCTGTGAACCCCACCATGGCCCCTGCACATGTGTGGGGCTATGAATGTTCAAGAGAATCCCTGGTAAGATCAAAAAGCACAAAACCCTGGTTTATAGGTGCACAAGCTATGGCCCATTGGGAGAAAGCACACAGACCTCTAGAGTCCCCATAGGGAGTGAAAGCCCGAAGCAAATTCTAACACTCCCTCCACTGAAGCTGCCTATACCCTTCTGTGACCCCAGAAGTGTCTCCAAACCCAGATGCTCAGAGGATGAGGCATCCAATGACCGTGTGCTGGGCAGCCTTACCTTGGTGCGCCCATTGATGACGTAGCTGCCCAGCCGCCCAGTGCAGTGCCGGATCACAGTGTCCACGTGGGCCATGAGGATCCCGATGCTTCGGCAGCCGGGCTCGTGGCCTTCCACCCAGGCGATCTGGTCCCCGCGGATGCTGCGTGGTGGGATAGCCCGCTGGCTCACCAGCTGCCCATCACGCAGGCGCCCGCCCCGCTTCAGGGCCTCTACCTCAGCCAACACGCGGCCACCCAGTGCCGCCCCCAGGAAGCTGTCCTTGACACAGATGCCATAGTACCGCATGCAGGGCACGATGTAGTCCAGAGCCAGGCGCTCAGGTGCAGCAGGAAACTCCTCTGCCCTCAAGTGGGCACTGGCCTCACCATGGCCATGGCTATTGCCATTGCTGCAGCCCAGGCCACCCTCCCCCTCTGACTCCTGGTTCTCCTGCCTGGCCCAGGGCCGCTTGCTGGGTGCAGGGGCATCCCCACCATCCTCTGCCCATTTCCGCTTGGGGGCCTCAGGCCGGGCGCCCTGAGCTGCTAGTCGCTGGCACCCCTTAGTGACCAGTGCCGCAGCTCCCTCACTCTGCAGTGGCTGCAGCTCGCCACCACCCTGCCCACCAAAGCCCTCCAGCAGGGTGCTGGCTGAGGTGGAAGTGGCTGAGGCTCTGGGGATCCCACTGCCTGCTGAGGCCTCAGCAGGTGCTCCCGGACGGTGGTAGGAGGGTAGCAGGGGACATGGCAGGTAGCTCTCCACCCCCATCCTGGACCGGCCAGGCTCCAACGGCTCTGACACAGAACCCAGCAACTGAGGGAGAGCCTGACTCAGGGGTTGGGGCTGGCACGGGCTGTCCATGGCAGCAGCGTCTTCATCCCCCTGGCATGGAGGGCACGACCTGGGCCCATGGTGCCACCCTCCTCCGCTGCCTCCTCCTCCTCCACTTGATGCAGCTGGGGGCCGGGGCGGCAGGGCCGGCCGGGCCTGGCGTGGGGCAGGGTGAGGCAGGGCAGGTGGCAGCAGCTCTTCTTGAGCCCTGGGGGTGCTCGCTGGTCCCCAAGTCTTCTGCTGTCCCTAGGGGCTTGGGAAGGGACCTGTCAGGGTTACTGGAGAAAGAGATGAAAAAAAAAGAGATGTTTGAGGACCTAGAGGCTGGCTGGCTGGGGAAAGGGTGGAGGGTGGAGGGGCAGTAGAAAGGCAGACAAACTTGACAGTTGAGACCAAAAAAACTGAGCCAACTAGGGGGTGAAGACCCCTGGAAATTGGGGTGGGGGGTCTCTGACAGGTAAGAGTCAGGGGGGACAGGTGGAGGAGTAAAGCTGGGTAGATGACCCAAGACAGAGGACTGCGGGGCCAGGGGAGAGAACCACCTCAGGTGGGTCAGACGGACAGAAAAGAGGGAGGGACCTGAGTAGAAAAGGACCGCGAGGGAGTGGGGAATAGAGACGAACAGGGGGATCCGCCTGGGAGTTCCAGAGACACACAGAGGGAATGTGGGGGTCCACAGGCAGAGGAAACTGGGGAGTCCAGAGACAAAGAAAACAGAGGGGCGGCGGGGGAGGGGGAACAGAGACAGAAAAGCCGGAGAAACGCTGGGAGGGAGGCCTAAGACAGCCGGACAGACCGGGGTGGAGGGGTCGACCTTACCCCAACGAGAGGAAGCCTGCTGGGGGCTGACACACATCCAGACGGAAGGGAGGTCCTGAGACAGACTGACGGACGGAAGGGAGTCGCAGGAGGAGGGCTCCCCAGCGACAGGGAAGGGCGGATAAGGGTTCAAGCACCCGGGGACCGGACTAGGGGAAACGAGCGCCCCCTACCAACCAACTCCCGTCGCTGCGAGCACGGCGGCCCCGTCGGGGCGCAGCTGGCGACGGAGGTCGGGCCT